ATTCGCCTTCTGTGCTCTTTTTTTTCTTGGGCATTTTAATTAAGGTGAAAGTGCCCTTCAATCTGTAGCGACTTCTCCCTTGATTTCATCAGTCAGATACAAAATGGAAGGCAGCAGCCTACCGTCTCACGCTAAGTTCAGAAAGCACTCGGCGGGCGTAATCAATCGATGCTACTTGTAATGTCTGTAGCATTTCATCTGTCACAGGGGGTGGCCATCACCCTACAAAATTTATATGCTTGCTGGAGCGCTTGATATTGATCTGAGGCCAGTGGTGCATGTGTGCTCTTCACAAAGAGTGTTCGCAGGCTCAGGCAGAGTCTTTTCCTGCCTCTCCGATGATGAAAGGAGCAGCTGGAGAACAATTGGTGGAGTGCAGAAGGACACTAATTGTCATCATCTGCACATCATTTGAAGTTCAGTTCTGCTGCAGCACTTAGTTTATGAACCCAATGAATATGAATATCATTTCACTGTTCTGCAGCCAGAGCAACAATAGTCACGTATTCCCTTTTGCCTGAGATCTGGCTAGTTGGTGTGAAATGATTGCTGCAGGCGTCTTGGCTCTCGTTTACTCCCTGTGTGCTTGAAAACGAGTAACAGCCACCCAGCCAGAAATCAGAGGGGACTTTGTGCTTTCTTGAAGAAAAAAAAAAAAATACTCGTGTGTATGTGTGTGTTGTTTTGCTTAGGCGTTTTACTCTGGCAAGCTGAAGGTTAGAGGGAACATCATGCTGAGTCAGAAGCTTGAGGTCATCCTGAAGGACTACGCCAAGCTGTGAGCCCTTGAGCCAACCAATCATATGACTTTAGAAAGTAACCAACCTACCAACTCTCCGTCTGTCGACTTTCTTGTCCTAATTCATATGGCTGTACTTAGAGTACAGGACTCCTTGATCAAATAGGAAATTTCCTTCACTGAATGAAATGGAAAGGAGAAAGAGGATAAATGAGATTTAAAAAAATTTTTTTTGCGAGTAACTGGCAACAGGAGAGGCAGTGATTCACCATCTTATTTCAGGTTGGAGTATTTGTGCACTTAACACACCAGCCTTTAAAGATCCAAATGGTAAATTCATTAACCATTAGTCTTCACAAATTTAATTAAAATGCTAAATAAAAACCCCTCAATTTTAACACTAATTGGTTATTGTCCTCTTGCATTAGCAGAAACAAGCATTTTACTACAGTTAATCTAAATTCTGCCTAATGTTCAGTAAATGTTTGGATGAAGTGTTAATCTAAACGCGTTTGTCTCAGACTGGCTAAAGTCAGTGGTCTGTTTCATTATGACATCTAATTGCTCTTCAATGTAACTGCTACTGTAATCACAACTAGAACATGGATCGGGCTGCATATTTCTGTCTGTACCCGACCCATGCCCGAGTGTGGTGTCCGAACCAGACAAGCTTATAGTGTAAATGTCTGACCCCGACAGTTGTTTAATAAAGACATTCATTAAACAGACATTTGAGTGCTCCAGCTGTCTAGCTTAAAGTTTGACCTACATGTCCGAACTCGACCCAAACTTAAACGTAATTTCTAAATTTGTCCAAACCTGGTCCCAACCCTTGCGTATCGACTGCTCTCGTTGGGCTCGGTATCCACACTCTAATCACAACATAATCTGTGAGATGTAGTTTGCTAGTTTTATAATGTCATTGCAATTGTAATGAAATTCAGTGGTTGCTCTGAAAATAAAGCAATTCCGACTAAAATCTGATTTCTGTATGTTTAATACTTGGAACTGTACAGTAGATTAAATGTTTTTAAAATAACACTGAATCTGCAGCTTCCACTCTGTTTATGGAGACAGAGTTTCAGCCGATTTGACCACCACAGTTGATTTGCTGATGAACATGGAGCATTTAGGAGTAAAAGAACTAGATATTTCCCTCAGGAGCTGGTGAAGACTCAAAACAGACCTAAAAGAGAGTGAATATTAGATTGACATCACAAGTGGTCAAAAAACAAATAGTTGTGGCAGTTTCTGATCACGAGTAGCACTGTAGAGAAATGCTTTTATGAGAGGGTCGCAGTTTGCAAGAGCATGTGGGCACTGAGACGGTACACATCTGTCACTGTAGGGTTTTGTAGTGATTTTCACATTTCATACCAGTGCAGTTATGATGAATGTGAAAATAATTTAAATTTACTTGGAAAATCAACAAAATTAGAAACCTCATTTATATTTCCACTAATTTTTGACCATTTATAAATGGATTCCCACTGAAGCCAAAAGTGTGAGGAAAAACACTGTCCGTCACAAAAAATGCACTGGTATGATCAACTGGTTTTCAAAACTACAAAAAAACATTTCATTTTCATAATGTTTTATTACATTTGATACATTTTCTGTATATAATACATTGATTTACACAATATCCTCAATATAAAATTAGAATTATTTGATCAAATTCACATTTGCAAACTTGAAGGGGAGGGGAAAAAAGAGCTGAAAGTGATTATTTGGTTCAGTGACTAACCCGAGTGAGGAAAATCAAGTCTATTCTCCAGTTTCTGTAGGAGTACATATAGTTTGGCTTTCCAGCCACTTTTGATTTGTGGTCGTTAAGGGGGTGGGTGAGGGGTAACCAATAAGCAGGAAATAAGATTACATCTGCTGTTTGATCAGTCTATATAACCCTAAATATGAACATATTTCTTAAATATACCTGTATTTGTACAGAATGATATTCTTCATAAAGTGGCTTTTGTCATTCATGGCTTATCTACAGCTAGTCATTATGATTATGCCGTTATGAGAAGCCTAGTTTATGGATCTATGTATATACACAACAGCAATCAATCTGCTTCATCCACTTGGATTTCCTCAGTTTATTCTCCCTGAAATCAGAACCAATGTACATGTGATTCCCTACAGCAGCACAAGGTTATGTGGGTTGTTACTTCCTTAAGACCTAACAGCTATAGGACACTTTGCATGACCTCCTTCCTTCTTTATGTGGAAGACACATTGTACACCAACCTAGCTTACATTTTCCAAGCATGTACGGAGTGTGCTGCATTTAGGTGAAGTTAATTACTGTAACTGTGCCAGAAGAACTGAACGGCAAACCAGAGAAAGCAAATCTGCTAATACAATTAGTGCAACACAAGCAACATTTTCCAGGCCGTTTTAAATCATGGTCCATATGGAAACTGAAAGTTCAGTCGATGAAAAGGAAGTGCATTGTTATTGGAATAAAATCGGAGATCCTCTAAAACGAACCTGCCCCACCCCAATCATTTTCCATTGTCAATAGCAAATTTTACTGCTACATTTCAAAAACAAAATGCAGCTACAACATGTGGTATCTGTTAGCTGCAGAAGCGGATAGGGTGGCTCTAATCTTCTTCTGTAGTTATCCCATACCAACAAAGGCCTTGTAAACTAAAGCTACTTGTGCAACCTAATATTAGTTGGAACCAGTCAGGACCCATAATACTTGTACTGTGCCAGTACGGCAGAAGTAGTTTTCAGAATTTAAGGACACTTGATAGTTATACCACTGGTTAAATCTAGGGCTGGGATAATCAAACATTGTTCTACATATTGCAATCTTATGCCCAAAGGCCTGGACTAGTTTAATCTCATCTAGTCTTGTAGTTATATGCACTGCACTACATATAACTTAGCTTCATTTTTATGTGCAAGTAGAGAAAGAAATGGCGCACTCAGGTAGTCCATGACAGTTTAAGAAAACACCTGATATCAGTACATATAAACTCAAATCACAAGTTTTGACTGTCGATTAAAGGAATTGTTCAATTTTTGGAAAGATACTCGTTACTGACTTTGTGGCAGAGAAGATGAGAAGACACTAAATCTATGCAAATGCTTTGTTTACAGAAATTATACCCAGTTGTGTCTATGTTGTCTACTAACCTACCTCATATTTGATGCACAAACATGTGCATAATATGTCTGCTCATCTTATGTCTCAGCCAGAAAGTGTTTTCCCAAAATGTAAAACTGCTGCTTTAAATTTAAAGAGACAGTTTTTCCCTTTACAACGTGAAAGTTTCCTGTGTTAATTTCAAGTCAGGCTCAAAAAGGGCATCAGCCTAGTACCTAAAATTAAAATGCCATCCTGTAATTCCTAAAATGTGCTGTGATTTTGACAAACACTTAGTTCTGTTTTCTCAACCAAGCTGGTGTCATTTGTGTACAGACACTTACATGGAGCACCAGAATGCGCCGGCAATCCTCCTCGCTGGACAGAATGTGCTGTGCACGATATTCGCTGGCTTTACTGCATTACGCTGAGCAGGGTCGATAGTGTTGCACAGTCTTGTGGTAACAGTCAAGACCCTAAAGGAGAGAGATCACTTATCTTTTTGTTATTTAATCAACTGAATGCTCCAGCACTGATTCCACAAGAGCTTCCACTATTGTGACTGCTTGACTAATACGAGCTATAGAGAAGGTGTATCAGAACAACGCTGCAACTCTTTTCACTCCTACTCCTTCTACAGCTTCACTTCCTGTGCAGAAAAGGTTCTCTGTGTGCTGTTCACTAAACAAGGATGATGGCAGTTTGTTGTGGAGAACTTCCAGCTGGGCTGTTGTCTGTTACAGCTTGTACTGACTGAACATGCCCTCACTTGTTACCCTGTACCCACTTCCACTGTAGTTGAAAACACTTGCCAGGGGCTCCTGTGTTTGGTCATCTTTAACACCAAGTTTGGGTTCAGGTCCCACACAAAGCACAGTGGATCATGTGACTGCATAGTCACTCTGTGAAAGTCTGTAAATCCCATTAATATTAAATATCTTTGCTATGAAAGCTACTGTTCATTTAAAACGGATGATAAAATGTGATGTCGTCGTTATGTTATCGCATTGTTTCCCCAAAATGAACCCTTGACCGCCACTGTTCCAATCAGGTATTGTTTTCTCCACTATAGTACCAGGAACTTTACTTGATCATAAAATGCACTTCACATTATTTGATTAAACTGCTTTAACACCACATTTTTCTGCCTATATGAAGAATTTGACATCATTTTTGAGGTTGCCGTCGCTGTTGTTATTGACAGTACTGAAGCGGTTGGGGAGGATCCTCATTTTCATGGTTCCATCAGCGCCACAGGAAAAGATGTGACTGGCCGGTCCCATCTCGATCTGCATGACGCCCGTGCCAAGGTTCCTGAACAGTGACTGGCGGGCGTGTTCATTTGGAAAAGTGTAGAGGAGAGACTGTGTGGCCAGGCTCCAAACCTATTTAGAAAGAAAGTGAAGAGTTAATGCAGACAGTACAGGCAAACATTTTCTTTTCTATCTTTTACTATCAAATTCCATGAAAATGCCAAAACCAACAGCGATCCTGCTAGGAGTACTGTCTTGTCAGCCTCATTCTTTGATTCCAACATGTGTACGGTTACTTATTTTAAGCTGATCCCACATGGACTGTCCTGCTGTCAAATTCACACTAGTACAACAAATCCATGGCTGAAAATAGTCACCCACAAATATGCATTATTTCTTTTCCTGTGACTTCTGCAGAAACTGTACCGCCTGGCTATTTTCAGCCAGACACAGGGAAGTCTACCACTTTGGTCCAGAGTGAAATATCTCCCCGGCGTGCCATGAAATTTTGTGCAGATATTTGTGCTTTCTAGAGGATGAACGCTAATAACTTTGAACTTTTCTTGTAGAGCCACCATGATGTTGACATTTGTGGCATTGGTTTTGAGTGAAATCTACCAACTACTATTGGATGGGTGGCCATGGCAGATAGTCTGGGCTGACAGCACCACAACATGAGCATCCACCGTACTTAAACCTGCACTGTGTTCCTTAAGGCTTTTGTTATAATATGAGGTATTTCTTACACTGACGTCTTTAGAAGCTTATAAATTTGCCGCACATCCTTGTTAAAATTTCAGTCAGTCAATATACAATTAATGACTTCAGATGAGTAACATCACACATGGCTTTGGAGGGTTTTGAGAGCAATCATCCAGAATAAAAGTCATTTGAATATCAAGCAGATGTGTGCTGCACCGTTGCTTCAAAAGTATGCCTGCGTGACACAGTGGCTGCGGTGACAGCTGTGATTTGTGCCAACATGTTTAATCAAAAAGATGAGACTCATCGAGTCTGGAAATATATTAGTCTGTTCAGTCAAAACACTGCTTCACCTTTTCACCTTACACTTCAGTCTCCATCATTTACACAGTTACCTGAGCAGGTGGTTAATTATAAGTGTGACATTGGTTTTCACTGACTATGATGGGGCTCGCTCACTCTGTGGATTAATGCATCAGTCATCTGACTCAATGTGGAGGAGAGTTAGAGACACCTGGGGGCCAAACACCCCACAGCCTTCTAGGACTGCTCTGTCAGCAACGGGTTTAAATGTTCAAAACCTTCAAAATCCAAGTTTAAGGTTTCAGAATCACTGCTGCCAGAGATGCTCTCATGTACAATTGTCTTTCTGGAAAGAGGAAAAAGTCAACTTCTGTGACTTTAAATTCTTATCCTTTCTGGAAGATTCTCTAACAGAGCAAGCTGCCTGGTTTCCACTTTCAACTGACATTGAAAGCCATCAACAGACTAATAAATATTTATATATTAAAAAAATTCATCAAACTACCTAGGAGTCCTGGAATACAATAATTCTCAAAATTTCACATTTATTCAATAGAAATTTAGTTAATATAATTAACCAGATGATGCAAAATAACAAAAGAAGTCAGAATACCTTAATGTTGCCCTCAGCTGATCCACTGATAAAGCAGTCCTCAGTTGGATCAATGGCCAGTGCTTTGATTGGCGAGTCGTGGGCCTGGAAACTCTGCCGCTGGCGCCTGTGGGCAAGCTCCAGGATGCTGATCAGGCCCTTCTTCCCACCTGTGATAAGCAGCTGCTGCCTCGAGGCCACTGCGAGCACTGTAGCACCCGACTCGTGGCAACAGAAAGCTGAGGATCGAGAGAAACAGAAAAGATGTCATGTTGAGGATGAGATGGAGAAATCAGAGGCAAAA